TTAATCCTGTTAAACACGACTTTCTTAACTGAGAAGTCAGGGGATGCAGATAACAAAATTCGCAAACGAGGCAATTGAACTAGCAATTGCACTCTTTCAAATCACTTTAGGGAACTGTTTTTAAGTGTATTTCGATGGAAATCACGGATTGGTGAACAGCGACTTTGAGACTAATAGTAAGTGAATTGTTATGGTGTGGACCTGTTCAAGAGAGCATTAATCAAGGCGGGAGAATCACCTAAGAAAATGCATTATATCAATTCATTAGAGTTGTTTATCGAACCTTAGACAAAAACCTTTTTTTTTTCACACATCATTGACCAATCGAATTTTTTTGAAGTGAATCGAAATGAAATAATTTATAGATCAGTGGGTGGTATTCGCGCCTCATTGTATAATGCAGTAACGATGGATGAGACTGTGAAACTTGGCGAATATATGAAAGAATTTCAAGAAAACAATGCTCATCATTAAACTGTCGAATGAATCATCTGCCAGTTATGATTACGGTCATTAGCAAACTGATTCAACTGAATACTTCATTTCCTTCTTTCGTACCATTCGTGTCCTTGTGATGCGCATAACGTTACATATTACGTAACTATATAATATCTCATATTGCATGAGCCAACAATGTTCATGGAATATGCATGCAACTGTGCTTTTTAGTTCTTTACTTTTTCTCCATTAACTGCTGCTTATTCTTCTGTTCTTCGATTGTTCTAATCCTTGATAATGAATNTAATGAATGCGTCAAATCTCTATCTCAGTACAAGTTTCAAATTTGGTTTTTGATAATTATTGAATGATGAATTAGCGCTAAAGGCAGTATCTACAGATGAATAAAAATGCCTTTCAATATTTATCACAATAAATACCATAGCATTAATGAAAGTTGTGATTTATTCCATACATGCTAAAAGGCAGTCTCTTGAAGATTTTCAATTCTACATAAACAAATGACGATTAAAAATTTAGATGTTAAACAGTCAATTGTATAATGTAATAAGCCGATTGAAGACTAAAGCTGAACCGTTACGGAACATTGTTCAATTATTGTAGGACCAGCCATGTCGCTACACCAAACATTACGCTAGTTTCCAGACGTAGTATACAACTGTACCTGTACATTCCACTCAAAGGTGCAGCTATATCTATGCCTGAAAATTTTCCACAAAAAAAAACAGAGTCCTTATAAATTGCTCACAACCACTTTCACGTACTTTATTTGAATTTATAAATATACAAAAAGGTAAACTTTTTTTCACGAAACTGCATTAAAACAGATCGCGTTCACAATTTGTTGTCATGCATCCACGATGAAACCGAGTTATTCTTTTACACTGTAGTTATCCATAGCGTTGTCATTGTAATGAAGCGGTATTGTCGACGAAAACAACAGAAAATGCCGATATTTGGGGGCAAATTGTGGTGAGAAAAACTAGCTGAAGTTTGCTACTTTTTAGTGGAAAATTTCCGAAACAACATTGTAGAGTTAATGTTTCATGAAAGAAAATGTCGTGCCGCAACTCTGCTGTACAAACAGAGAAGGTGCATTCTCAACCAGTAATATTCATAAAGACAGACATAACGAATTTCGCCGCTATCAGATTGCAACCTTGCAACATGCACAGGTTTAAATTTTTATAAGAATAAAGGAGGAGCAGTGATCTTCAACGATTCAATTTTCTATTGATTGCAGTGAAAAATCGAGTATTTTTATCACAACTGGAAGTTCTGGTGAGCTTATCAAATCAAATCGAATTATGCCATACTTTCTAGTCAATCTCATCAGAAATAAATTCAGATGCAGCCTGAAAAAATGATTCGACCATAGAAGCAAAAAGTAGAGCATATATGAGGTAAATCAGCAGCGTTTGTGAATCAGGTAAGTAGGAATCGATGATAAGCTGAAATCAACGATTTAGTGAGGATGGAGACAGACATGTATACATTCAACCAATGTAAGAGCATTTTCTTCTTTCCAAGCAATCTTGTAACATGAATGGTCGTTTCATAATTTTATTGGTGAAATGTACACTCGCATAATAATGTTAAATATAGAATTCATGAATAAATCTTTGCATGAAATAGCGATGTGATAAATAAGAGCAAAAGATGTGTTTATATACTGTTGGTTAAAGCCGAAAGTGATCATCATCAGCTATCTGCACAGAACGCTAATCTTTCACGAATGCGCCAAATTCTTGTAGTCAGTGATTCAGGAATTCTTCCAGCATTACCTCTTCGTGCTTTTCATCATTCGCATCCAACATCTCATTCATTCTCCTTTCATCTAAAATCAATTTATGATTTTCATTCAACATTTCAATAAATGACCTACAAAATTTTTTGCATGCCAACAATTTGTTATTACACCAAAGTAAACAAGCTGTTTTGTCTAGCCACAGGCCCGATGGATTGATGATTCAGAATCTTTGGATGAGTATGTACTCATTAGAGGCCATACAACCGCATACGCTCTTCCTGCTAGCACATAGTTATGAAACAACTTGAAAGACTGAATAGGTTTGTGACCAGAACTGCAAAAATGTCAACTTTTTGTATATCGACTCTTCCTTCGAAGAGAGCAGACGGCCTACTTTTAGTTAGTTCATAAATCCCGTTAACAACCCTGACCACGCGTGTAGATGCACTATTCGCTTGAATTGTTTTCAATTTAATTTGGTTCCGGAAAACATCAATAATTGATAATTATTAAACAATAAGGAATATATTTTTAGAAATAAAAGAACAACAATGACCCTCAGTAAAAATATTTGTTTGAGGCTGAGCTGAGATCCATTTTACTTTCTCTTTGCTGATCTCGCTGTACTGGTCCTTCTCTTTCTTCAAATCAGCCTTCTTCTCTTCAATAATACGTTCACCATTCGATATCACTTGCAGTGCTTCAAGATGAGTCATGACGAGCTCTGTTTGAACACAGAATCTTTTGAGTTTATCAATTTGTCTATTCAACTCTCGCAGCTGCTAAATTGTCACAAAAATTAATGGCATTACAACGACAATATTGCTTAGTATTTGATTTGATTTCAGTTGCTTGTGACAGACCTGTTTTCATTTCATCTTGTTCTGTTATGAATAAATCTATTTCCTATTATCAAGTCTTCGTGAAACGCACTATTTTCTTGAGTGAAAAACTAATTCCCCCTAGTGATCAAGTCAAAGTCTGGTACTTCTGTAGACGGCGGAACCAATGCACTGAATTTGTTTCTACTTCTTAACAGTTTCATTCGCTCATTTTGTGGAAATTGTTAAAAAGGCTAAGAATATTTTTCAGTGGCTTCGACAAGGTTAACGGCTAGTGAAATCCAAAGGACCACAACCCGTGAAATAGACAGCCCCATTTGAAACCAATTTTCGATGGAACAACCCCTAAATACCAGAGCAGAACCGAATACAATGAGAATCAATCTTGCACGTATACTCAAGAGGAATTAAATTAATAGAAGTTGAACCTTGCAAATATGAGGCAAAGCCCTGAAATGTTGATGCATTGAAAGGATGCATTCAGCACTTTCATTGCACATCTGCTGCGCTCGACCCATACGGGTACTACAGAGATTCGCTAATCGAAAGTTTTCATTGTTCATTTGTTCGATTTGCTCAATACTGAGTTGATATCTTAATGAATTGTTTATTTATTCATACAGCACTGCAACTATAATATTTGATCATGAATTATTTTTCGATACCAACACAAATAGAGGATTTATGTTCCATCCGACTTCGTCATTTACTGGTAATCTTATCGAGAAGTTGAGTTTAAAGTCTCTCGCAAGATGTGCGCTGTCCATTATATCATTTGATAATAGTTT